TCAAAATGTTTACTATTAGAGTAAAAGCCATGACAACCAATGATAAGTATTCACTGATAGGAAACAGAGATGGAAGTATCAGTGTTTGATTATTTGCTATTGCTGTTAACGTCTGGAAAACCCTGTCTGGAAAGCTGTGGAGGTAAGTTCATGTAGTGCATTCCAGGAAGGTATCAATAACCCTGACCCGTCTGAACTAATTCTCACTTGACAGTTGCACAGATGCCATTAGCTGGAGAGCAGTCAAGACAACTAGCATTTTGTGGAAAAAGCGAATGTAACAAATGAAGGCAACTAGGGTTTTTTTTTTCAATTAACATAGATTTATCTCTAGGTATATCATTTTTATATACTTGGTAAATTTTTAAAAGAATCTACTGACCCAGTAGGTAAACATAATTATAGTTGCAGCTCCTGAACTTCTCAAAATGGAGAATTAAGATGCTTACTTAAACAGCTCATGAGTCACATGAGGCTTCAGAGACTCAGTTTGGTCACACCTAAGCTAGAAAATTAAGTGATCCAGCCTCTCATGGCAATTCACATTTGATAATGGCCATTAAACTCAGTCATGAGTAGATCATAAAATCATTTGTATGTGTCATCACTGAATGTAACTCAAGACAAAAACTTACATATAAGTCTGTTTCTCCCTGACCCTTTCTGCACGAGATACGATGTGGTTTAGTGTCCATTTCAGATGTATTTCCACAACACAACGCTGCTTGTGATATCCAGCTTGAAAGGTTTGCTTCATAGAGGAAGCAGAATATTAACACCCTTACAGAACACATCACCTTTAAAAACTGAATTTGGTTGATTTGAGCTTTAAATGCTAAGCTTAAAGAGAATCTGTCAATATACAACCATATCCGTCAATATAGACCAGCCAAATCCTGAGTTTTGCCCTTCTATGGCCTGACATGCACCCAGGCTAGCTATTGATCTGATGCCTCAGAATAAATACGCTGGGCTATGAAACCTTCCAAAGAAACCCAGCGCCAACTACTGAGAGCTCAGGGCATGAAGACAGCCAACACTGTTCATGGACAATATTGCAGCTATTTTCCCCACTTGTTCCATACCATTTTGACACAGAATAAGACTTACATTTGATACGAGGTACCTTTTGCCAGGATAATATATGCTAGAGCGTCAAATGAAGCAAGAATGATGCAGTCTGCATGGCAGACATTAAAGAGAAGAAAAATATGCTTATTTAAAAAGGAAATATAGAATATATGTCTAGTGATAATATACTCTTAAGCTATCGATAATGTGGCTTTCTGTGATACGATCACGTAACTACCACTATTCTGGAGAATTCCAAGGTTGTGATATTCCAGGCAACATGGCTGCTGGGTACAGTGTTCTGCTACTGTTTAAAACCACAACTAATTCTTCAAACTAAAAGAAGACTACCAGAACATTTTAACATTACTTCACTCAGTTTCTCTCAGATACAGGTATTTCCCAGTAAAAGTATTTCCTAAGAAATCTGAATCAGAACATGCCTTATCATTTTGCCCCAGAAAGAATTCAGCAATTACGTCTTTTTTTATTTCACATGCCATCATCAATCAGCTATTTTAATTCTTTCAGCATCCCAATTAGCCCAGTATTAAAGATATTAATTGTGGAAGACATAATGTATTATGCCACAACAGACTACTACTGAATATGCTAGATTTATAGTTTACTGGAAGATCTTTGCTTGGTGTAATTAATGAAGAACAACACGGTGGCAACATCTAATCAGGACCTTTCGATTATTTTAGAATTCTTTAAAGGTCATGAATCTTCTGATCAAGAAGAGTGGTTTTTAAATGCCTTCTTCATGAAGCTCAGCAGGTTGAACAGAATATCCTTGGAAAATAAATAGAGCTAAAAATAATTACTAACACCCCAATCATTTTATGAGCTATTATTTCACCAGAAAATGGAGAAAATTTATCTTTAATACTGAACAAAAACCCTTCAAGGTTTATGTTCTCTATAAACCTTTCACTGAGAACTGAAAATATAAGTTAGTAATGCAATAAATGCCCTAACAAATATATCAGATTTTTCACTTAATGCTTTTTACAGGCTTAAACCAAACTGAGTGAAAGAAAATCACCTTTTACAGTCTGACTCTTAAAGGAAGAATGCCGCATGGTGAATTTATATCAACTTCACTGAATCTTGAGGCATGATAAAAAAGAAGAAAATACGGCAGCAGAGTTAACATTCCATAGCATTCTTTCTTCACATTTATTTCCTCACTGGCTGTACATAAGCCAAAAAAAAGGAAGTAATACACACACCTCCTCCCCTACCCCCAACATAGAAATAGCTGAAATAAACCTTTGGTACACAATGCAGTCAAAGCTCTGTGTTTTTCCTCCTCCCACCCTTGACAACCTGGATTGTTTCTCTCCAAAGAAATCCAAGCAAAAAATACTCCAAAGAAAAAACAACCAAACTCTGAACTTCAAATTTGTCAAGCAGGTGCAGCCGCTAGGGCAGTAAACAAAGTTTCCCCTATTTTCCCTTATTAAATGAATAGAGAAAGAAAAACTAGCTGTCTTTTTGGACCTATTGCCTCTTGAAAACTAAAAACCACACAGAATGAAGTTCTAGTAAATAAACATTAGCACTGCCTTATAAATCTCTGCCCTCTTGTCCGATACTTTATCATCTTGGGCTTGAGAAGTCTTAATTTCATTCTAACGTAAATAAGAACTGGTCTGTTTGCTCAGTACTTCAACAAGAATTTGCTGCAAGGTTGCAGCATGCAGGCAGTGCCCCAAGAAGGGTGACCTTGCTTTAGTCAGTGAAGCCAAAGATCATTTATCACAGTTAACCTACAAATCTGTCTTGCTGGGGCCTCAGATCCATCAACCACTTGGAAGCAGCTACTTGTCCTGTCCTCCCACAGCTCCCTAAAAGATCAGTCTGCTCTTTTCTATTATTGTATACCTCTCAGCTAATAAAATATATTTTTATGGATATGGAATGAACAGGAGTATTTTGTATTTATTTATACAGCTCATTAAAGGTGGACAGAGATTTGGAGGCAGAGAGAATGCCCCAAGCCTAGAAAGCTCAGGAAGACAGACCCTAGGCATATGCATGTATTTAACTTTATGCATATGAGGCGCCTGGCTGAACCCAATGAGACAAAGCAATTACCTACAAGTAGGCATCCTGGTCATTTTGCAACTATACTCCTAAGCTAAGGCATGACAGGGAATTGGTGAAGAACTAGTAAACATTGAGAGGAGGAGACCAAGATGGTTATAATGAAAGCATACAGGCAATATATTCAAAGCTATGCAGTCTAAAATACTTTATTATGTATTATTATTATTATGCCTATATATTTAGACAGACTTACATCATACAGAACTAGCTGCAGCTCCCTGACCCCCAGGTACTTGGTTCAGGTGATGTTAGAAGAGAACACAGGATGGGACGCCACATTCGCACCAGCACCGTAGTGCAGAAGGAGCCATTCCTTCTCCAGGTTCACTCTCCTGATTTAGCACGCCCCTCTTCCTCTTGACATTAATGGAGATAGATATTTTCTAAAGGGAACATTAGGTCATCTTCCAGCAGGGAGAAGCTGGCAGATTGAAAATCCAGTGCCTGACACCAACAGCAGTAACACTTGTTAAGAGACAAATGCGCTTGTGCCAATCTGTTAAATGAAGTCTGAATCTGACTTTGAAATTGAACAGGGGAAAAAACCCAGTGTAATTATTCAAGGGTTTCTTAGGCACAGAGACCACTGTAGAAGGAGAAGTGATCTCTCTTTAGTATGCAATTTAGAGAAAACTTAACATGATTTTGCATTGATTTTTTTAAAGAAGTGAAACATTATATGTCCACACATACTTGTATTGAAGTGTCTTTTTTAAAAAGTTGCTGAGATTTAACACAACAGTTTATGACTTTTTAACTATAACAGGTAGGAGTTGAATGACCAAACCACAAATTCCATACATTTTAGCTATCAGGTACTGAAATATGTGGATTTTAAGTGCTTGTACTCACATATGTGTGAGGATGCAGTGCTATCTGACACTCAGAAATTGGCCCGCAGTAGGGAAGGACGCAATTCTGAACTACTTTTGCAAATTCTAACCTGTCAAAGTAGCATGAAAGAGAGACAGCTAGGCAGGGAGTTACTGCTATTTAAGCAGAAATCAGCATAGATTATTTAAGAACTGAAATCAAAATTGTTACCTATAATAGTGACCATTAAAGGTCAGATTTCCCAAAGAGCCAGCTATCGCTAAAAATTGACTGCCAGTAGAGCTCAGGCCACTTCTAATGACCCAAAATAAGCAGATGGATTTTCAAAAGATTTTGCATACATGGAATTGTGGAATCCATGGAGCTCTGTAAGAGTTGGTCTGAAGAAAAGCATTGTCTCAACCTTGCCATCAGGCGTATGGACAATAAGGTACCCCAAAAGCTAGGCTACCATCTTGACATGAGTCTGCAGTGGCCTGCCTGAGATGCAGTTGCTGATCCCAAGAAAGGAATGCGGTACGAACACCCCGGGAGGGAGAGCTGCATGGCATGAAGAGTGGCGTGTACGTACACCCCGAGAGGAAGAGCTGCATGCACGAAGAGTGCCGTGCCGTTCTCCAGTACCAGGGATGAGCCTGAGCTGATCAGGTGGACCGCATAACTGCTGTCAAGAAAGATCGATCAGCATCTATCGAGCCAAGAAGAGGCAGAGATACAGAGGAGGAACAAGGTGTGTTACTTGGCATAAAAGATGGCTCCTCAGCACCCGAACTTTGGAAGCTTTCACCATCAAGGATCACGACGATTGTTAGGACCAGCAGGATGCTGCTTGGACCTGGGACCATAGGGAGGCCTTGGACCCATGGTGGTACCTATCAATCTTTTTCTCTTTTCACTTTATTTTCCCTTTCCTTTCACCCTCTTAACCCATCACATGCTGCTTTACGGGCAAATAATAAAGTTTCACTGTTTGATTGAAGCAAACCCCTTTGGTGTGGTTGCCCCAATTTTGCACTTCGAGATCACAGCAAAAGAACCATCACCAGTCCACCAAGTGGACCGTGACATTTTAAGTGGCATCACAGACAGGATCCCAAGAGACAGAGGGGTGCAGGTTGTGTGTGGTCTGTAACAGGGGAAGGATGTTTCGTTCTAGCCACACCTGGCCCTACACTCAGAAAGGGTGAGAGGTGTCCAGAAAGCAAGGGGGATGATTCCAATTTCCCGCACACCACACACACCTAGATGTAGGGCACTCCAAACTTGAGTTGAGGGCTCTGTCTATCAGGATTGAGTTAAGAGATCTCTTAGTGCAAAAGGGGAGAACTGTTCTCACACAAATGTGAGGGGACAACCTTGTAGAAACTGTAAGTTGCCTCCCCATGGCAGATTTCGGTCCCTTCAACCACTCGGGGAAGAGAAGGGTGAAGGAGCAGAAGCTGTGTGTGGATGTAACTAAGTTCAGCCTTCCCAAAGTGGGTATGGTCCCTTCGTAGTAAGAATGGCCAAAAAGGTTGATAATCAAGACCCTCCATAAGTGAAAAATCAAGACTCGTTCTACACACTCTTATCAAAGCATGAGGCTCAACCCTTCCCACCCAGGGAAGACTGGGATCAAGACAATTGGACAAACTTGCAGAGTGTAACAGACTGAGTGATTGCTTTACAGAATGTGGCTAAGGTAAGATCAGGTAGAGGCAAAACGATAATCTGTGCTGTTCATGGAGCCAGCCTGGTTGCAGCAGTCAAAGATCACCTTAAGCAGCATAGTTATGAAAAACAAATCATAGAATCTCTAGAAAATTTTGTGCAAATTTTGCAAAGAACAACCTCTAACCTAGAGGAAAAAAGGGAAGAAAACAGCTCGTTAAAAACTGCCCTAAGGGAGGAATATTCAAAAAATACCCAGTCACTGAGTGAGATAGAGCTGAAGACAGAGGAAAAAGGTATTCGACAAAAAAACCCAATATACCCCCAGAAGGAATTGGAGGAAGCGAGGAATCGCTTTGGGAAAACCTCCAAGTGAGACCCTTGATTAAAACAGAATATTTTTATACAAATGATGAGGATAATGAACCTCAAATTACAACTAAAGAGACAACATATACTGCCACTGAGCTAGCCAAACTGAAGAAAGAATATGGGTGCCTTCCAAAAGAATCCGAAACAGAGCATGTATGGCACGTATCCTTAACTGGGGGGGACCAAATTCAATTAAGTGAAAAAGAAGCTAGCGGTTACTGGGGCCATGGAGTCTTCCTAACAACAGGAGATAAATGTGCCCCATGGTCCCTGACCCAGCAGGCTGCCTACTGGGCTGGAGGGCTGAACCTTTTGGACAGAGGGGATCCCCCTGGCAATCACCGGCACGGTGATCAATTGCTAGAAAGTGTACACAAAGCAGCCTGCTTGCAAATGATACATGAAAGCGAATCAATTCCTGGATGTGAATCCCCAATGATGCTGCTGGTGAATCCTGAAATCATGACTCCCTTGATAAGGGGACTCCCAGAGTTGCTTAAATCTACAGGGATTAATCTATAAAGGACAATCGCGTCGATAGGCCCTGTAGAAAGGCTAGAAAGCTTTATGAAAAGCCAGAGAAATGAAGCTGATGCTTCCATGGATTCGCCCTTTAACCCTAGCTCAACTCCCTCCCAGTCAGGTAATAAAAAGGTGTGGACATGGGGGGAGGTAGCATAGGTACTGGTAGATTATAGTAGAAAATATGGTCCAGTAAGAGCCCCAGAGGAAAACTCAAGAGGAATCCGTCAAGTAGGAGTTAAGGATCTGCCCCTCCTCGCCAGTAAAACTGCAGCCGCTGCTGCTGACCTCCCTCATTTTGAAAGAGGGAGAGGAGGACAGCCCATTACCCATCAATGGTGGCTAATTAAAAAGGGAGTCCCCAGGGATACAATGGACGGTTTACCCCTTGATAAGCTAAGTAAACTGGTATCAAAATGGCATAATCAGAAACAACACTCGCAGCAAAAGAAAGAAATCTCACCCATCATGCCCACAGCCCGCCCCGCGAAGGAGCAATGGGATAAGTGATGTTTCTTCCCAGGAGCTAAGAAACTAGAACCTCCATTCCCCAGTAGGCGTGGG